CCCCAAAACCCCAAAACCCCAGCATGAATAACAATTCCTTTAAAAATAATATTAAATTCCAACGGATATTAATTAAATCCTAATAATAGAAGAGTTGCAATAATCAATAATCATATGCTGAAATTCATTATGAAACTTGAAGTAGCCAATCAAGAATATCACTCATTACCTTTTGATAAAACCCATCTTAGTAAAACAAAGCATGAGCTGCATTCTTGTAGGTAACAGTTTTATTTTTAGGGTTCTTTAATATATTAGAAATCTCAAATATGCGAATATTAGATACAATCCAATCATTCTCTGCCACAGTAATAAAAATTGGAATATTAGGGATCGTGTCTAATTAAGCATTCATTTGATCTTATAAACTAAATCCATATTCAGCCATGTGGAATTGAATAGGTCCTGTGTATAAAGGATCATTGCTTATTACATAAGTAAGAAATTCATCATATTCTGGAGATTTGTTGGGGTGTGGAATCTATCTATTTCTAAATACAGTACTCATAGCTTTCAAAAGCATTCTCTTAAAGTATCCAATTTGGTTAGCTTCATGATTTGCAAACCAAGGGACATTAAGGATCGCTCCACTAAAGTAATCTGGTCTTATCTGTATCATCCTAGTACAGATTAAACCACCCATTGATGTTCCAAATATAAATTTCTTTGCATCCTATAATCCAAATGTTTCAACTATCTAGTCAACGAATCTAAACTGATCTCCCATCAAGTCAGGCCCAGTGTCTGCTCTTACTCCTTCACTTTTTCCAAACCCATGTCTATCAAAGCCAAACACTCTGAAGCCTCCTTGAGCAAATATTTTAAACTAGTTACCATAGAAATCACAATATCCTCCATATCCAAGAAAGAAGAAGACTACTCCTTTGAGCTCCCCTTCATTGGGATATTCTACAGAATGCAACTTGACATCTGTGTTATTTACTCTAGTAGTGAAGTTGATTGGGTTTTATACAGGGAACTCCTCAGCCTACACCTTTAGATATCTTGATAGATAAGTTTCACCGTCATGACTATCTGGACTAGGATCTATTCTTTTTGATGACTCAACCATTATATTTCTGATATATCTACTATAACTTTAACCTGAATATGTATAATAAAAATTATTATGACATCTTTATCCACGTAATTCTATTGATATTTGCTGATTGGGGTTTTGGGGTTTTGGGGTTTTGGGG